AAGTCATAACCCTCTGATAGCTAGCCAAGGGGAAGGAGTAGGGAGTGCATTGGGACCAGGGGAGGGAATCCAATAGCCCGACAAAGATGGATGAATGAATACTTAATGGTTCCATGGCGGCATTTGTTTGGGAATAATGGCACACATGTAACACATCACAGAACATTCAACACTTCACTTAAATACAACATAAATATCACAGGACATACTTCACAAGACAAGGTCAGACAGACAAATATGTCTCCTGAGTGGCGCAGTGGTCTAAGGCACTGCATCGCAGTGCTAACTGTGCCACTAGAGATCCTGGTTCGAATCCAGGCTCTGTCGCAGCCGGCCGCGACCGGGAGACTCATGGGTGGCGCACAATTGGCCCAGCGTCGTCCAGGGTAGGGGAGGGAATGGCCGGCAGGGATGTAGCTCAGTTGATAGAGCATGGCGTTTGCAACGCCAGGGTTGTGGGTTCGATTCCCACGGGGGGCCAGTATAAAAATAAAAAAATGTATTCACTAACTGTAAGTCGCTCTGGATAAGAGCGTCTGCTAAATGACTAAAATGTAAATGTATACTATAGGTGGTGAGTTACGGTTTAGTCTTCCTGGATTTAGGAACCTGATGCTGGTTGATATGAATGACTTGTGTGCCCTGTTTGTTCTACAGAGTGGGGTTTTGAACCTTCGACCTGACAGCAGCTGTTGGTACTGGTCGTATAGTGGGTGTGTCTTAGTAAAATGTTCTGGATTCATGGATGGTTCTTGATTTGTAGAGTGATGGGAGGCTTTGAGACTTGATGCTGCCGAACCATACCACCCAAGGAAGCAGAAGGTTAAGATGCTTTCAATTAATGTCTTATATAAAAGGTGAATCATCAGTAAGGCCATAGGAAGTTTCCTAAGTAGTCCTAAGCCAAATGTTTTGCCCAGAACCCAGGGAGATATTACAAAAAGACTAAACCCTTTCTGATATTCACAGAATACAAAAGAGAACATTAATTGCCCTCACCTCCACCACACTCTCCGACAGTCCAGCTCTGGTGGCTGCCTCCGCCAGCACAGGCGACCCTCTCCTGGTCATTCCCTGGTCAAATAAGGCTTTCAAAACCTCTCTTTGATCAGGAAACATGTACGATCTTCTTTGTCCTAAGAACAGAATGACACTTGTTAAGACATATCCTAATCCAGTGTTATATATGGATCAGTATACATATCACAGACTTCATATGAGAAGTGGGCCATAATCAGCTAAGAAATCACTAAGGCATAATACAAGATTAAACGCAAGGCAAGCCCCATGGCAGATGATACTGACTTCACATTATTCACATCCAGCCATAGGTACCGTATGATGCAATAAGGCATGTTTCAGTATAAGCTTTGTGCCCTTAGCCATTAACACACTAAAAACCTACTCCACTGATTATTGCTAGGATTTACTAGTGAGATTGTTTCCATGATATGTTGGCTGATGCGGTACACTGTTGTTATGTTACTGTGTTGTGTTGCTATTGACATGGTGATTTTGCTTCTGTTTGTAACAACGGGCTGTAAAATCAGAACAAACTTTATTCACCAAGAATATTTACATGTACCAGGAATTTGACCTGGTGACATGGTGCTGATATACAGTATATGGATTATAAGAATATTATAAGATTATTACAAGGGCTCATGTATTCAAGTATGTTGTGCTGGAGTATGCTGATGTTCAGCTTGTCAGTTGCACCAAAGAGCTATAGAAGGAGTCGAGTGAGTACAATGCAGATGGCTATATCTTGCTACTCTGCTCCCCAGCTCTACCCTCATGTTTCTGGCCATGGTTGGTGACTTTAACAGAATGTAGATAAGAAGCCACAATTTTACCCCTCAAAGACATGAGAGATCCATCACACCCTCTTCACGACCTCCCTCCACTCAGACAGCACTGACAGTTCACAGCTTCTCAGTTCCACCTGCTAGGACAAAGCCATTGCAACGATTTCCTACATTCTGTTATCAGACTCTATACTGTTAGAGATACATTTAACGTCTACATGATTCTATGATATATTCAAATCAAATACAATTTTATTGGTCGCATACACATATTTATGTGGTACATTTTCACAACTATTAGCACATAAATCAACAGATCATCAAAATGGGACATGTTTCAAAACAAGTACATTTTCAAGTACATTTCAAATTGACTGAGTACAACAAACATATTCACAAAGTCACTTGTTCACTGCACCAAATCAATCCTACAATTGGCATACATATTACATCTAAGTATCTGCTTTTCACAATGCATTATTCACATAACTTTTGATATGATTTTCTTGTCATTGTCACGCCCTGGCTCTGGGGACTCTTAAATGTTGAGCCAGGGTGTGGATTTTTCTATGTTTAGTTTTTCTATGTTTTGTTCTAGATCGTTTAGATCTATGTTGGCCAGGGTGGTTCCCAATCAGAGGCAGCTGTAGCTCGTTTTCTCTGATTGGGGACCATACTTAGGCAGCCCGTTTGGCACCAGTTAATTGTGGGATCTTGTTCCGTAAGGTTTATTTTGGTGTTAATCTAGGACTTCACGTATCGTTTTGTTCGTGTCGTGTACTACTAATAAAATGTACGCTTATCACGCTGCGCCTTGGTCCGTATCTTCCTGTAACGATCGTGACAGTCATTTGTTAAAATACATACTAAATATGACTTAATCAATTAGCTCAAAACTGATAACTAGTAAAACAAATTGTATAGTGTATACCAAAAGTAAAGTGTCTAGTTTTCATATACAAAGTGTACAAAACATTATGAACAGCTGGGCCCAAATTCACAAAACACTTCTTACGGAAAAACTTAAGAAGCTTCTTAAGAAGAAAAAAAGTTAATAAGTAAGTGCAATTCCTCAACAATATCTTAAGATTTAATGATTTTAATGGTTTAAAATAATCAATACTGAAACTTTGAGATTTAAGTTTGTTAGTGAATTAAACATGTTCAATTGCTTTCATGATCTTATTCTCTCACTGCCCAGAGTTTAGCTATCTTGGAATTAAGAACAAATCCAATAACTTTATTTTCAAGAATCTAATTTCTTCTTAACTTTTTGCTTAAGGAGAAACATAAGAAATAGCGCAAGAACATTTCCAATAACCTTTTAGAGGAATAGCAACTTCGCTTAACTTTCTTCATAAGTCTATAGTTAAGGAAAAATTGGCAGTTAAGAAGAAATTCACAAAACCCTGCTCTTTCCATGACATACAGTAGACTGACTAGGTGAATCCAGGTGAAAGCTATGATCCCTTATTGATGTCACTTGTTAAATCCACTTAAATCAGTGTAGATGAAGGGGAGGAGACCGGTTAAAGAAGGATTTCTTAGCCTTGAGACATGGATTGTGTATGTGTGCCATTCAGAGGCTGAATGGGCAAGACAAATATTTAAGTGCCTTTGAACGGGGTATGTTAGTAGGTGCCAGGCGCACCATTTTGTGTAAAGAACGGCAACGCTGCTGGGTTTTTCACACTCAACAGTTTCACGTGTATCAAGAATGCTCCACCCCCCAAAGGACATCCAGCCAACTTGACACAACTGTGGGAAGCATTGGAGTCAACATGGGTCAGCATCCCTGTGGAACGCTTTCGACACATTGTAGAGTCCATGCCCTGACAATTGAGGCTGTTCTGAGGGCAAATGGGGGGGGAGGGGGGTGCAACTCAATATTAGGAAGGTGTTCCTAATGTTTGGAATACTCAGTGTATAGTTTGTCCCTATGGAACTCACGCGCACACACAGACAGACACTCATTCCTCATCCACTTTCGTCTTCTGAATCACTGTCCTCCGAATCACTGTCCTCCTCTACATCTGTGCTGACCGAGCCATCACCAGCCAACATTGAAAATGCTTGCTGGAGCTTTAATATGTTCTGCATTTTATTTCAGAGCAGCACAGAGGCACCCAGGTGAAAGCGTGTTGGCTCGGCCTCACACTGCCCAAGAGAAGCAAGGGCCACAATAGAAAGAGCGAGGGCCACAACAGTGAGTCTTCTTAGTCTGCAGACTTTCCAAAATTGCTGCACAGTGTTGAAGAGACCAGCGTACAATCCGGTATCTCTTCTCCGTGGCCTTCAACCTTTTTCTCCAGGCTGAAACGTGAACATTTATGTTAAAAGGTTTAAAACCTATATTGACTAGCCCCAATACAGTGGGACAAATATGATGGAGACAACATCCTAAAGAAGCGATTTACTTTTCAAGATGAGTAGTCAACTGAGCGTTCCTATCATCGGTGATATCATGTCAGACCTAGAAAATATTATACAAATATTTAAGCGAAAATATGACAGTCTGAAAGCATCTCAACATAAAACTAACCAGTTACGAAGGCAAAACCCATTTGGGTGTAGATTTGAGTGTAGACCCACAGTTTGGGAACCAGGCAACTTCCTCTGTCGGGGACGCACATTTCGCAGTCATGAAACGGGAGGGGAAACGCGGGCGCGCAAATGACATAGCCTGGGATATATATCTGTTTGGGTTCCAATAGTTTTCTGTCTGAGAGTACTTTAGCACCTCAACGTAATTTGCGAACCTGAGTTCCGATCCACATTTTGTCTGTTGTGTTTAAAGCTACATTCCTTAATTGAAACAATAACAAAGCGGCCTGGAGAAATGTAACCACGCTCAAATTTATAGACAGTGCTATGGATGCAAGGCCCGACCATCCATGATATCAAAATGATAGTTTTAACCATGTTTTGAGGCTATTCAATGGTTGTTTACATTTACATTGTTTTCAAACATTGGAGTAAAACAAGCCTTTATTTTGGGTTCTGATGGGGTACGACAGTTGAACTACGCGCATGTGGCATTTCTAAGTTATATTGGGTCATATCAATGGGTATATATAATTAATTAAAAAGTTTTAAAAAATGGATGTAGCAACTAAGAATTCTAGCTTTAATGATGCAATTGATCTTATTTCAAAACAAAGTATTCCTACAGAGAATAAACAATAAACCACATTTGAATCAAAATCAAATCTTTAATCACTTGTAGAATCTAAGGTCCGTTTTCAAAAGTTACAATAAAATACAACATTGATCATAAAAGCCCACCACATGTAAACACTGTTAGTAGAGTTAAGTTAGAGCATTCACCATTTTATAACAGTAATTAACAACCCAACAATAGCAGCAAAGACACAAAGTTAGTGGCTGTAGATTTCAGCAGTATACTAGATGTTGGAATGTAGTAAAATATATATTTAAAAAACATTGTGATTGCAGATTTTTATTTACAGTTACAGTTGGCTAGTGACAGTTATCAACTATTTTGAAGTGATATGAAACTTGTACCAGAAAGTACCAGTCATAACAATATGATTTCTAAGTAAATGGAGGAATCTACCACACGCCCAACAAGGTTGCTAAGGTGCAGGAAGATATGTGTCTGAACAGACCTCTGCCAGGAGTCTAATTTAACCGAAAAGTTAACACAATAATTATCAGCAATTTCCATCCACTCTTCTTCAGATGTCCAATGAGAAATACTACCTATTTTGCACTTCCCACCAGTCTTTCTTGCTCTACTATCTCTCACAGTGAGCAGAAGTATCTGTGGACTGGGAAAGCTATGAGGCCGGAGATGGCGATGCCCAGACTGTCTCCTACACTGGCTGTCGCCATGGCAAACTCCCTCTGTCTGTCTCCAGTCTGCAGGGAGAGAGGGGAAAGGTCAGGGGAGTGGCATGCAAACACACACACAAACATGTCCATTGGCTGACCCTCTAGCTAATGTTATATATTGACAAACACACATACACACACACACTGGTGACTGACCTCCTTGCTGATGAAGTAGAATGTGTTGACGTATGCAGCTCCTCCCAGCAGCCCCTCGTAGATGACTATCACAAACACCAGCCACGCACTGGGCAGTAACTGGTAGTACACCGACAAGAACAGCAACACCGCGTTCACACACTGAGGGAGACAGAGCAACACCGCGTTCACACACTGAGGTGAGACAGAGCAACACCGCGTTCACACACTGAGGTGAGACAGACCGATTCATAAAGCATCTTAGAGTAGGAGTGATCTAGGATACAAAAAAATGACACCGACAGATCCTAGATCAGCACGCCTACACTGAGACGCTTTATGAATAAGGGTACAGAGGTAGTGGTGGGGATGGTGGGGGAGATAGAGAGAGGAGGAAGAAAAGATAAAACCAGGTGGAGAGAGATGAATATCAGAGAAAGTGAGAGCTCCACCACTAGGGTTGTTACTGTGACCGTAGAACCACCACACCGGCAATCACCAGTCATGACCGCAGTCAAATTCCACATGACCGTTGAGTGAAGGTAACTACGCTTCTCCAAAACTGTGCTCTGATGTTGCTGATGGTCATTAGTAGCCTACCAAACTTGCTAACGGCCAGTCGCTAACGGCCAGTCGCTAATGACCTGGTACTCAGCACCCTATTGTCGCTCTAATTACTCTGACATCAATGTAAATGCTTTCAAAAAATCTAATCAAACACTTAATGAGACTGACTAATATCCCAGTTGCTTTAAACGGCAGAATATCTATTGTCAGAATTAATATATTGCCACGGCTGAATTTCTGTAGTCCAATGCTTCCCCTTCTGGCTATTGGGATAAAATCCATAGTGCGGTTTCAAAATATATATGGCAGGGTAAGCGAGCCCGGATAAAATAAAATAAACTTGCAAAGAGGGAAAGACGTAGGAGGACTATCCGTACCAGACTTGAAATTGTATTTCCAGGCACTAGTATTGTCCCATCCTAAATTGGGAAACCCAACTACCGAACCATCCAATGCCGTAATTTATAAATACATTATCTGGGCTCCCGAAAGGACTGATCTCTATAATATAGAAACAACTTTTGGAAAGCTCATATTCTGAGCTAGCCATGAAAAAATGTATGGTCCACAGATCTAATTGATTTGGAACAACCCTTTAACTGGAACAGAATATGGAGAAATATGACTTTGGCATCCTGTAATCTGAACCACCAATTTATACATTTTAAGACTGTTGACAGACTGTATTTAACACCAAGGAAACGTTTTACGATGAAATTGGCCCCAACTCCCAACTGTTCACTGTGTCCCCTAAATCAGGTAGGCACATTCCTCCATATGATGTGGGAGAGCCCTGCTTGTAAATGCTTCTAGGGCTTTGCATCTATTTTGTTACTTAACGATGATAGCTCCTTGAATCTCTCAATCAATCAGAGACGATTACTGCTGGCAGGCTGCACTGCCGCAAAAAATATGTTGGATCTTAGATGGCAATCCCCTCACTCTCTCCCAAATCGCCACTGGATACATTTACTATTAGAAGTTATAACATTATAATTATCAACAGCGAGAATGAATGGTGCTAGTCAAGGAACAATTGAGGCCTAGACAAAATATACTTGACTCTGTAAAGAACAATCTCAGCTAAAGCCAAACACATACAAATAAACAATTAATAAAGCCCAAGATATACAGTCCTTTCAGAAAGTATACAGTGAGGGAAAAAAGTATTTGATCCCCTGCTGATTTTGTACGTTTGCCCACTGACAAAGAAATGATCAGTCTATAATTTTAATGGTAGGTTTATTTGAACAGTGAGAGACAGAATAACAACAACAAAAATCCAGAAAAACGCATGTCAAAAATGTTAAAAATTGATTTTAATGAGGGAAATAAGTATTTGACCCCCTCTCAATCAGAAAGATTTCTGGCTCCCAGGTGTCTTTTATACAGGTAACGAGCTGAGATTAGGAGCACACTCTTAAAGGGAGTGCTCCTAATCTCAGCTTGTTACCTGTATAAAAAGACACCTGTCCACAGAAGCAATCAATCAATCAGATTCCAAACTCTCCACCATGGCCAAGACCAAAGAGCTCTCCAAGGATGTCAGGGACAAGATTGTAGACCTACACAAGGCTGGAATGGGCTACAAGACCATCGCCAAGCAGCTTGGTGAGAAGGTGACAACAGTTGGTGCGATTATTCGCAAATGGAAGAAACACAAAAGAACTGTCAATCTCCCTTGGCCTGGGGCTCCATGCAAGATCTCACCTCGTGGAGTTGCAATGATCATGAGAACGGTGAGGAATCAGCCCAGAACTACACGGGAGGATCTTGTCAATGATCTCAAGGCAGCTGGGACCATAGTCACCAAGAAAACAATGGCTAACACACTACGCAGTGAAGGACTGAAATCCTGCAGCGCCCGCAAGGTCCCCCTGCTCAAGAAAGCACATATACAGGGCCGTCTGAAGTTTGCCAGTAAACATCTGAATGATTCAGAGGAGAACTGGGTGAAAGTGTTGTGGTCAGATGAGACCAAAATCGAGCTCTTTGGCATCAACTCAACTCGCCGTGTTTGGAGGAGGAGGAATGCTGCCTATGACCCCCAAGAACACCATCCCCACCGTCAAACATGGAGGTGGAAATATGCTTTGGGGGTGTTTTTCTGCTAAGGGGACAGGACAACTTCACCGCATCAAAGGGACGATGGACGGGGCCATGTACCGTCAAATCTTGGGTGAGAACCTCCTTCCCTCAGCCAGGGCATTGAAAATGGGTCATGGATGGGTATTGACACTGACACTGCTGGTCCTGCTCACACTGCCCTACCCTATGCTTGGACTTCTTTCTCCCCTCTCTCTCCAGATAAAATCTTGCGACTTGTGACGGCCGGCCGCCCAACAACCTGCCCGTTTGACCCTATTCCCTCCTCTCTTCTCCAGACCATCTCCGGTGACCTTCTCCCTTACCTCACCTCGCTCATCAACTCATCCTTGACCGCTGGCTATGTCCCTTCCGTCTTCAAGAGAGCGAGAGTTGCACCCCTTCTCAAAAAACCAACACTCGATCCCTCTGATGTCAACAACTACAGAACAGTATCCCTTCTTTCTTTTCTCTCCAAAACTCTAGAGAGTGCCGTCTTTAGCCAACTCTCTTGCTATCTCTCTCAGAATGACCTTCTTGATCCAGACCAGTCAGGTTTCAAGACTGGTCATTCAACTGAGACTGCTCTTCTCTGTGTCACGGAGGCTCTCTGCACTGCTAAAGCTAACTCACTCTCCTCTGCTCTTGTCCTTCTAGACCTGTCTGCTGCCTTTGATACTGTGAACCATCAGATCCTCCTCTCCACCCTCTCCGAGCTGGGCATCTCCGGCGCGGCTCACTCTTGGATTGCGTCCTACCTGACCGGTCGCTCCTACCAAGTGGCGTGGCGAGATTCTGTCTCCGCACCACGTGCTCTCACCACTGGTGTCCCCCAGGGCTCAGTTCTAGGCCCTCTCCTATTCTCGCTATACACCAAGTCACTTGGCTCTGTCATATCCTCACATGGCCTCTCCTATTATTGCTACGCAGACGACACACAACTAATCTTCTCCTTTCCCCCTTCTGATAACCAGGTGGCGAATCGCATCTCTGCATGTCTGGCAGACATATCAGTGTGGATGACGGATCACCACCTCAAGCTGAACCTCGGCAAGACGGAGCTGCTCTTCCTCCCCGGGAAGGACTGCCCGTTCCATGATCTCGCCATCACGGTTGACAACTCCGTTGTGTCCTCCTCCCAGAGTGCGAAGAGCCTTGGCGTGACCCTGGACAACACCCTGTCGTTCTCCACTAAAATCAAGGCATTGACCCGATCCTGTAGGTTCATGCTCTACAATCTACAACATTCGGAGAGTACGACCCTGCCTTCCACAGGAAGCGGCACAGGTCCTAATCCAGGCACTTGTCATCTCCCGTCTGGATTACTGCAACTCGCTGTTGGCTGGGCTCCCTGCCTGTGCCATTAAACCCCTACAACTCATCCAGAATGGCGCAGCCCGTCTGGTGTTCAACCTTCCCAAGTTCTCTCACGTCACCCCGCTCCTCCGCACACTCCACTGGCTTCCAGTTGAAGCTCGCATCTGCTACAAGACCATGGTGCTTGCCTACAGAGCTGTGAGGGGAACGGCACCTCCGTACCTTCAGGCTCTGATCAGTCCCTACACCCAAACGAGGGCATTGCGTTCATCCACCTCTGGCCTGCTGGCCCCCCTACCTCTGCGGAAGCACAGTTCCCGCTCAGCCCAGTCAAAACTGTTCGCTGCTCTGGCACCCCAATGGTGGAACAAGCTCCCTCACGACACCAGGACAGCGGAGTCACTCAACACCTTCCGGAGACACTTGAAACCCCACCTCTTTAAGGAATACCTGGGATAGGATAAAGTAATCCTCCTACCCCCCCTTACCCAACCCACCCCCCAAAAATAAAAATAAATAACATATTGTAAAGTGGTTATCCCACTGGCTATAAGGTGAATGCACCAATTTGTAAGTCGCTCTGGATAAGAGCGTCTGCTAAATGACGTAAATGTAAATGTATTCCAGCATGACAATGTCCCAAAACACATGGCCAAGGCAACAAAGGAGGGGCTCAAGAAGAAGCACATTAAGGTCCTGGAGTGGCCTAGCCAGTCTCCAGACCTTAATCCCATAGAAAATCTGTGGAGGGAGCTGAAGGTTCGAGTTGCCAAACGTCAGCCTCGAAACCTTAATGACTTGGAGAAGATCTGCAAAGAGGAGTGGAACAAAATCCCTCCTGAGATGTGTGCAAACCTGGTGGCCAACTACAAGAAACGTCTGACCTCTGTGATTGCCAACAAGGGTTTTGCCACCAAGTACTAAGACATGTTTTGCAGAGGGGTCAAATACGTATTTCCCTCATTAAAATGCAAATCAATTTATAACATTTTTGACATGCGTTTTTCTGGTTTCTTTTGTTGTTATTCTGTCTCTCACTGTTCAAATAAACCTACCATTAAAATTATAGACTGATCATGTCTTTGTCAGTGGGCAAACGTACAAAATCAGCAGGGGATCAAATACTTTTTTCCCTTACTGTAGGAGGACCTGTTTCAAATTATCACTTTGTTAACCAATCAACACAGAATAGCCGTATGTGCGCACTCCCTCGGAAATCGAAATATCCTTTCTATTTTATCCAGCTATTTTCAATTATATTCTTCTCACTATAAAATAATATAAAATAACGCCATGGAATTCTAAGAAAATCTTGTCTACTAAATGAATTAGTGTAGCCCACAGCCATATGGAATAGCCAGATCAGGGCCTAACATAAGGATGACTCAGAATATGCTATTCTGTTCTTCGGTATAGGCTACATTTTCTTCATATCATAATATTTCTTTAGACCGGTCTAAAATAAAGAATGAATTTATTGTGATGGTGGTGTAGGCTATATTAAATGGATTTATTAGACTTTTTAAATGTAGATGTTCCAAAAGGTCCGCATCAGTGGCTTGTATGCTATGTGTGGAAGACAGGAGATGCTAAACGTTTTTATGTTATTTAAAATGTCTATTACCATGAGACCTGCAGTTATTTGCATGACAGTTACCGGCTAACAACATTTCATGACCGCCACAGCCCTATCCACCACTACCATGATTATATCCATCCTCCAAACCCTTCGGTTCCACAAACATCAAAGGGTAGGGAGTGAATTGGGACCAGCTGATATATCTCATCCATTGTTCACTCACCTGCAGCAGAGAGAGAGCCCAGATTCTACTGATCTTCACACAGCAGAGAGAGGATCGCGAGACCAACACCCCTACCTGGTACAGTGTCTGGTACCTGAATACATACAGATGGGAAGATTGTGAGTTAATAGCTTTACACCACTTAATCATACCATTCCTAATGAGAAATATCGATCTTTATATGGCACTATTTAAGTATTCTGAATGTTACTGACCAGCGATACTGCTCTGCATGGGAGAGATTGAACTTTGGGAAATACAGGAGTTCCAACTGCAAAGGAAGTTGAACAATTAGGAAATGAGTTCTACTACAACAAGAAGTAGGGGGTCATCCATACAAGTTGGGGGCCATCCATACTATACAATGAGAATGGAAGTGATGGTGAGAATATCAACTAGTTGCAGTGACACTATCAGCTGCCAGGGGGCGACAGACGCCCACTCACCAGGCCCTGGTTGATGAAGTACTCCGCGAAGTAGACCACTCCTAACGGAACCACGAACCTCAGCAGACCCTGAGGGGAGGAGGGAGAATTAATATTAGCAGATTGGCAATAATACATATTGTACTGGTGCACATCAAGACTGAGTAAAACTTACTAGGCCAGGGTTAGCCTCATTACTTTGCATATGTAAAATGAAATTAAAGTAAAGCTGTTCTGTATATTTCGCTTAGGGGATTTGAGTGTGTATCGAAAATCATGACTGGGAAATAAGGATATTTATGAGATTTTGGCCTGGTTTACCCTGGCCTGGGCCAACTGAGAGAGTATAACTTTTTACTCTGAAAATGGTACAGACCAACTTTTCTAAAAGCCTATGACTTTAAAGACTTCACAAACTCACTTTAATGACGTGTAGCTTCTCAATAAGTGTCAGTGGTCCAGTGACCTTGTCTTCTGTTATATTCAGAAGGAAGAGAACATGGGCTGTTTGGTTAATCAATGTCCTACAAAATCTTTAACAATTACAATGCAATATTTCACTACTTAAAAATCTTGTGTCAAACGTCCATATTACCACATATCACTTTCCTCAAAATTCTTTACCTTACCACATGTTGACACGATAAACACACCTTCAGCACCTTTCTCCCGCTCCTCCTCCTCTTCATCAGAGCCATCCAATAGGGGCCGCCTGCTCTGTGAGTCACCGCCCCTCACAGACTCCGCCTCCCTGCATTTCCACTGTGGGAAGGATGGGGGGAAAACTAGCAGGAAAAAATAGCTGAGGTGAAAGAATGGGAAAGCGGGAGAAAGAAAGAGAGACACAAAAAGGGGGTGAAGGGGTCAGAGAAACAGACAGAAAAGAAGAGACTGATCCTTTCCCACTATCACCTAACAACGACACATTGTTAACTTTACATCACATCAACATCGTTTATGGGACTGACCAGGGGTGAAAGTATACAGAACAAAAATAAACGCAACATGCAACCATTTCAACGATTTTACTGAGTTACAGTTCATATAAGGAAATTAGGCACTAATCTATGGATTTCACATGACTGGGCAGGGGCGCAGCCATAGGTGGGCCTGGGAGGACATAGGCCCACCCACTTGGGAGCCAGGCCCACCCAATGTGTTTTTCCCCACAAAAGGGCTTTATAACAGACAGAAATACTCCTGAGTTTCATCAGCTGTCCGGGTGGCTGGTCTCAGACGATCCCGCAGGTGAAGAAGCCGGATGTGGACGTCCTGGAATGGCATGGTTACACGTGGTCGGCGGTTGTGAGGCTGGTTGGACGTACTGCCAAATTCTCAAAATCAACGTTGGAGGTGGCTTATGGTAGAGAAATGAACATTCAATTCTCTGGCAACAGCTCTGTTGGACATTCCTGCAGTCAGCATACCAATTGCATGCTCCCTCAAATCTTGAGACATCTGTGGCGTTGTGTGACAAAACTGCACATTTTAGAGTGGCCTTTTATAGTCCCCAGCACAAGGTGCACCTGTGTAATGATCATGCTGTTTAATCAGCTTCTTCATATGCGACACCTGCCAGGTGTATGGATTATCTTGGCAAATGAGAAATGCTCACGAACAGGGATGTGAACAAATTTGTGCACAACATTTGAGAGAAATAAGCTTTTTGTGCATATGGTACATTTCTGGGATCTTTTATTTCAGCTCATGAAACATGAGACCAACACATGTTGCGTTTATATATTTTTTCAATATAGAATTAATTTCTTCCCGGTATGGGACCTCCTGTGTGTGCATGCGCTTGTCAAACAATCACTTCAAAGCCTTTACTAGGCTACCCAGGCACGTTCATCCACTCACAAAATATTTCCAGCCTCCAAACAGAGGTGAATGGAAAGAGACATCGGTTACACAAAACACCAAAAAGTGTGATGACATTTGGCGATTGTCATTCGGCCAGACTTTATGCACCCACTGTGTCCGCGAGCGTCTCGGCCACTCATCTTTGCCTTGGCAAAATGTCAGTGTTCTCGTGGAACTACATCAGTTTGGAGCGTAGGCTATACCACCCATTTTCAAGTCCATTTGCTCATTTTTCATGCCTCTAACTTGCGGTAATGATAAATAGTGGTGTAACAGCCTACAGACTAACTTACATTTTGCTTTAATTATTGTGATAGGCTCATACCAGTACAGCGTACCCACACTATTTATTTTTTGCATGGACTCTGTACCAGACCACCTTACTTTCACCCCTGGGACTGACCTGATCACCATGGCAACGGGGACGACCAGCATGATGAGCAGCGTATCCCTGGGCGAGAGGCCAGACTGCGTGAGAGCAGAGTACAGCAGAGCCCCAGCCACACCTGCTCCACCGGTGCCCGAGCCCCAGCCCCCCAACACATCTCTGAGATAGAAAGAGAGACATGGGGAAAAAAACTATGAGAGGGGGTTGAGTGAGAATACCTTTCATGTTCAAAACGAGATGCAAAGTAAACAACTTACTGAACTGTTAGTAAATCTGACCTGCAAAGTAAACAGAGATAGTCTACCTGCTAAAGAAGACAGTGAGAGAGAGGAAGGAGAGCTCTCCCAGTCCTGAGCTCACACTGGCAAAGATCACACCTAGACAGATACACAGTACTTTAATATGGATGCAAATATGTACTCTAATATAAATGCACATAATAATAGAGCTTCATAAATGAATGGTTAAAATACCTTCACACAGCATTTACAGTAAGGGTGAAACAATTGTAATACGGTGCCTTATGAAACCTCTTTAAGGAATACATGGGATAGGATAAAGTAATCCTTCTACCCCCCCTTACCCCACCCCCCCAAAAAAATAAAAAAATAAATAATTGTAAAGTGGTTGTCCCACTGGCTATCATAAGGTGAATGCACCAATTTGTAAGTCGCTCTGGATAAGAGCGTCTGCTAAATGACGTAGATGTAAAAAGTATTCATACCCCTTGAATAATGCCACCTTTTGTTGTGTTACAGCCTGAATTCAAAATGGATTAAATTGATTTTTTTTATCTCACCCATTTACACACAATACACAATAATTACAAACTGAAAACATGTTTTTAGAAATGTTTGCTAATTTATTGAAAATGAAATACATAATTTCATTTTCCTCTAGGATTTTGCCTGTGCTCAGCTCCATTCAGTTTATTTTTTATCCTAAAGAACTCCCCAGTCCTTAACGATTACAAGCATACCCAAAGCATGATGCAGCCACCACTATAAAATATGGAAAGAGGTACTCCGTAATGTGTTGTATTGGATTTGCCCCAAACATAATACTTTGTATTTAGGACAAACATGTAATTGCTTAGCCAATTTTTTTGCAGTATTACTTTAGTGCCTTGTTGTAAACTGGATGCATGTTTTGGAATATTTGTATTCTGTACAGGCTTCCTTATTTTCACTCTGTCAATTAGGTTAGTATTGTGGAGTAACTACAATGTTGTTGATCCATCCTCAATTTTCACACAGCCATCAAACTCTGTTTTAAAGTCACCATTGGCCTCATGGTGAAATCCCTGAGTGGTTTCCTTATTCTCCAGCAACTGAGTTAGGAAGGTTGCCTGTATCTTTGTAGTGACTGGGTGTATTGATACACCATCCGAAGTGTAATGAATAACTTCACCATGCTCAAAGGAATATTCAATGTCTGCTTTTATTTATTTTTACTCATCTACCGATAGGTGCTCTTCTTCGCGAGGCATTGGAAAACCTCCCAGGTCTTTGTGTTTGAATCAGTGTTTGAAATGCACTGCTTGACTGAGGGATCGTACAATTATCTGTACGTGCGGGGTACAGAGATGAGGTAGTCATTAAAACATCATGTTAAATACTATTATTGCACTTATTATGTGACTTGTTAAGCAAATGTTTACTCCTGAACTTAATTAGGCTTGCCATAACAATGGGGTTAAATACTTATTGACTCAAGACATTTCTGATTTAAATTTGTTATTAATTTATAAGACTTTCAAAAAACATAATTCCACTTTGACATTATGGTGTATTGTTTGTAGGCCAGTGACAAAAAATCTCAATTTCATCCATTTTAAATTCAGGCTGCAACACAACAAAATGGAAAAAGTCAAGGGATGTGAATACTTTCTGAAGGCACTGTAAGTCCCGACTTTACTTTCTTGTGAGTTTAAAGGGTCTATCTGGGATTGGTACATTCTTTTCAAAACGATATACAGTGCATTCGGAAAGTATTCAGACCCCTTAACTTTTTCCACATTTTGTTACAGCCTTATTCTAAAATTGATCTAATTGTTTTTTCCCCTCATCAATCTACACACAATACCCCATAATGACAAAGCAAAAACAGTTTTTTTGAAATTCTTGCAAATATACAGTACCAGTAAAAAGTTTGGACACATCTACTCATTCAAGGGTTTTTCTTTATTTTTACTATTTTCGACATTGTAGAATAATAGTGAAGACATCAAAACTATGAAATAACACATATGGAATCATGTAGTAACCAAAGAATGTTATATATATGGGGGATGATGCAACCATCCCATCTCTACAGATTTTGCTGCAACGAGACAGAATCATTAGATTTTTTGTTTTGGTACTGTCCATATGTAGCTTGCTTTTGGTCGTAGGTTCAGGAATGGCTGAAGAATTGCAACATTTACCTGAAGCTAACTCCGCAAATAGCACTGCTGGGTGATTTGAAAAGTCATAGTCAATCAATCAATAATATAATAATACTCTTAGCAAAAATGTTTATCTTTAATTTACAATCTTTAGGAACTATGAGAATGGAAAGGTTCAGAACTTTTGGGAAACACCACAGCGCAGTTGAAAAGTATATGGCAAATAGAAATCAAAACTGGATGGTGTTCAAAGATAAATGGGAGGGGTTGAGGGTAGTTGAAGGATGGGACTAAAAACAAACAAAAGATAACTATTGTAAAATATACTGTGTACGTAAAATGTATATAATATGTACAATATAAGCTGGAAGTAGAAGACTAAGTGTTGTTGTCCATTAGTTTACTCCAATTAGGGGAGAGGTGGTAGGGTTAGGGGAAAACAATAAAGGAACATTTTTTTTTTTTAAGAATTCTTATATACAGTGGGGGAAAAAAGTATTTAGTCAGCCACCAATTGTGCAAGTTCTCCCACTTAAAAAGATGAGAGAGGCCTGTAATTTTCATCATAGGTACACATCAACTATGACATACAAATTGAGAAAAAAAAATCCAGAAAATCACATTGTAGGATTTTTTTATGAATTTATTTGCAAATTATGGTGGAAAAATAAGTATTTGGTCACCTAAAAACAAGCAAGAATTCTGGATCTCACAGACCTGTAACTTCTTCTTTAAGAGGCTCCTCGGTCCTCCACTCGTTCCCTGTATTAATGGCACCTGTTTGAACTTGTTATCAGTATAAAAGACACCTGTCCACAACCTCAAACATCACACTCCAAACTCCACTATGGCCAAGACCAAAGAGCTGTCAAAGGACACCAGAAACAAAATTGTAGACCTGCACCAGGCTGGGAAGACTGAATCTGCAATAGGTAAGCAGCTTGGTTTGAAGAAATCAACTGTGGGAGCAATTATTAGGAAATGGAAGACATACAAGACCACTGATAATCTCCCTCGATCTGGGGCTCCACGCAAGATCTCACCCCGTGGGGTCAAAATGATCACAAGAACGGTGAGCAAAAATCCCAGAACCACACGGGGGGACCTAGTGAATGACCTGCAGAGAGCTGGGACCAAAGTAACAAAGCCTACCATCAGTAACACACTACGCCGCCAGGGACTCAAATCCTGCAGTGCGAGACGTGTCCCCCTGCTTAAGCCAGTACATGTCCAGGCCCGTCTGAAGTTTGCTAGAGTGCATTTGGATGATCCAGAAGAGGATTGGGAGAATGTCATATGGTCAGATGAAACAAAATAGAACTTTTTGGTAAAAACTCAACTCGTCGTGTTTGGAGGACAAAGAATGCTGAGTTGCATCCAAAGAACACCATACCTACTGTGAAGCATGGGGGTGGAAATATCATGCTTTGGGGCTGTTTTTCTGCAAAGGGACCAGGACGACTGATCCGTGTAAAGGAAAGAATGAATGGGGCCATGTATCGTGAGATTTTGAGTGAAAACCTCCTTCCATCAGCAAGGGCATTGAAGATGAAACGTGGCTGGGTCTTTCAGCATGACAATGATCCCAAACACACCGCCTGGGCAACGAAGGAGTGGCTTCGTAAGAAGCATTTCAAGGTCCTGGAGTGGCCTAGCCAGTCTCCAGATCTCAACCCCATAGAAAATCTTTGGAGGGAGTTGAAAGTCCGTGTTGCCCAGCGACAGCCCCAAAACATCACTGCTCTAGAGGAGATCTGCATGGAGGAATGGGCCAAAATACCACCAATAGTGTGTGAAAACCTTGTGAAGACATACAGAAAACGTTTGACCTGTGTCATTGCCAACAAACGGTATATAACAAAGTATTGAGAAACTTTTGTTATTGACCAAATACTTATTTTCCACCATAATTTGCTAATAAATTCATAAAAAATCCTACAATGTGACTTTCTGGAATTTTTTCCTCATTCTGTCTGTCATAGTTGACGTGTACCTATGATGAAAATTACAGGCCTCTCTCATCTTTTTAAGTGGGAGAACTTGCACAATTGGTGGCTGACTAAATACTTTTTTCCCCCCACTGTATATATATATATATATATTTACAAAAAATATATATACTGGGGATTGGAAATGATGCAGACAATTACATTGATGGAAGCCACAATATATCTGCAATATTAAAGCTTATCTACCCCTAAAAAAAATATTTTACAAATATTGGCTCAGCGGTGTGAATACTTATGTAAATGTCATATTTCTGTATTTAATTTTGTCATTATGGGGTATTGTGTGGAGATGGGTGAGAGAAAAAATTGAATTAATCAATTTTGAATTCAGGCTGTAACACAACAAAATGTGGAAAAAGCCAAGGGGTATGAATACATTCTGAAGGCACTGTATAATTTTTGATCTCATGGATTCACATCTGTCTATGAATTTGAGTGTTTACATTTCTCCAGCCCCATTCCTCAGCTGTGTACCAAAACAAGTGGCGAGGTGGCTGCTTTGTTGTTTTTCGAATCCCGGATTTACCCTTTAATATACACATACATTAACAGAACTGCTGACTGGCTGATAGATGTGTCCCCATGGTTACTATATCAGTGAGATAGTGTCTGGTTTCAGGGGAAATGTCAGAGCTGCAATGTTCTAGGAACTAAAATAGTGATCAATGATCTTATCATTTTTCAAATGTTGCCATCCCCATGTACAAACATAGGCCTACACACACACACACACACATATTACCCAATGTGCTCATCCACACGGTAGAAGAGAAGGACACCACAAGGAAGCTTGCAATCGCTGTTGCAACGCATACCAACACTCGGAAACTGTGGACAAAAACACAACCTTTGCAAAATGTGCGCTCAAATTGTCAAACCTTTGCAAACTCAAGCAAACTGGTAATATAAGATAATATTGTTCCTGTATTATGTTATGATTAGCAAAAGCTAAGATTCGACCATTGACAACTTTTTATTCCAATGTTAATTTACTTTTTTTTTAAGAATCACTGAGTCTTATTCAAAGACAACTGGGAAAGCACTATCTGCCCTTCTCTTACCCATAAGGGAGTTTGTGGATGAAGAATGGAGCAGAGAGCTTGATGAGGAGAGTGGGAAGGATATCAGCCAACAACACAGCCTTGGAGAGGGGGACAGAAAGGTCACACACTGACACACACAGGTTAACCAGGCAGGATCACACACACACACTTTCACAGTTGCAGTGCATCTCTATTCACCGCGGTAGAAACAGGGTTGCAGTCGTAGCTACTTCTGTTTCCACCGTTTCCACCTTCAACGTGCAAGGCAACTGTGGCTGGGGTCTGAAAAAGGAGGAAATGGAGAGAGAAAGAATGAAAGAATATTGCCAATATAGTACTTTGACACTAACAATAGCTACAAATGTTATGGTGATACTGCATTCTACAATACATTCTTACAGGTGATGTGGAGTTGTGAGACCCTTGTTGTTTTAAGATGTCATGGGCCGCACTCAGCATCACCACGTACGCAAAGTTATTGCACAACCCCAGCAACCTGAAGACAAGGATCAGGAGGAGGGGGGCATGCAGAGATGATGATAAGTGTCAGTGGGCCATTGAATGATAACAAGTTCACTTGAGGCTATGCAATGATATTGTAGGGCAAACTGAGGATAAGATGTAGCCAGCAGATCCGACCCGTTTGCTTACAGCTGCACTAGGGTCAGACAGCCTTCCTGTGTAGATTAAGACGCAGCGGAGCCGGCGCAAGATATGGCTTGGAAAACGTACCTCAATACAGGGATGAGAAATGCGTTGTACTCCGAATTGTCCCATTATCCCAACTGTTACACCGAGAAAATTGAACGACTGCTAGTTTTTAAGTAAACTGACGTTTTCGTCCTCATGATAGCTAGCAGAAGCCACAGCAGCCATTTTGGAATGGCAGTGTCAGCCAATCAGTTCTCTTTGTTGATCAACGTGTCGTGCCATTCCATAACGGCTGCTGTGGCTACACGCATACTTATCACTGGGGCCAGACAGAATCTACAAGTAGTGGTTTAGTCAGTCTTTACAACATACAGTGCCTTCAGAAAATATTCACACCCTTGACTTTTTCCAAATTTTGTTGTGTTACAAAGTGGGATTAAAATGTATTTAATTGTCCTTTTTTGTCAACCATCTACACAAACTATTCTGTAATGTCAAAGTGAGAAAAAAATTCGAACATTTGTAAAATAAAAAAAAAAACATAATTAAAAAGAAAATACTACTATAAACTACATGACCAAAAGTATGCGGACACCTGCTCGTCGAACATCTCATTTGAAAAATCCTGGGCATTAATATGGAGTTGGTCCCCCCTTTGCTGCCAATACAGCCTCCACTCTTCTGGGAAGGCTTTCCTCTAGATGTTGGAACATTGCTGCGGGGACTTGCTTCCATTCAGCCACAAGAGCATTAGTGAGGTCAGGCACTGACGTTGGGCGATTAGGCCTGGCTCGCAGTCGGCGTTACAATTAATCCAAGGTGTTCGATGGGGCTGAGGTCAGGGCTCGGTGCAGGCCAGTCAGGATCTTCCACACCGATCTCGACAAACCATTTCTGTATGGACCTTGCTTTGCGCACGGGGGCATTGTCACGTTGAAACAGGAAAGGGCCTTGCCCAAACTGTTGCCACAAAGTTGGAAGCACAGAATCGTCTAGAATGTCATTGTATGATGTAGCGTTACGATTTCTCTTCACTGGAACTAAGGGGCCTAGCCTGAACCATGATAAACAGCCCCAGACCATTATTCATCCTCCACCAAACTTTACAGTTGGCACTATGTATTGGGGCAGGTAGCGTTCTCCTGGCATCCCCCAAACCCAGATTTGTCAGTCGGACTGCCAGATTGTCAAGCGTGATTCATCAATCCAGAGTCCAATGGCGGCGAGCTTTACACCACTCCAGCCGACGCTTGGCATTGTGCATGGTGATCTTGGCTTGTGTGAGGCTGCTCGGCCATGGAAACCTATTTCATGAAGCTCTCGATGAACAGTTCTTGTGCGGATGTTGCTTCCAGAGGCAGTTGGAACTCAGTAATGATTGTTGCAACCGTGGACATTTTTACGAGCTTCAGCACTCGGCGGTCCAGTTCTGTGAGCTTGTGTGACCTACCACTTCGCGGCTGAGCCGTTGTTGCTCCTAGACGTTTCCACTTCACAATAACAGCACTTACAGTTGACCGGGGCAGATCTAGCAGAGTAGACATTTTACGAACTGACTTGTTGGAAAGGTGGCATCCTATGACATTGCCACGTTGAAAGTCACTGAGCTCTTCAGTTAGGCCATTCTACTGCCAATGTGGCTGAATTAGCCGAATCCACTAATTTGAAGGGGTGTCTACATATTTTGGCATACATTGTGTATCTTGATTAGATACAGTGGGGAGAACCAGTATTTGATACACTGCCGATTTTGCAGGTTTTCCTACTTACAAAGCATGTAGAGGTCTGTAATTTTTATCATAGGTACACTTCAACTGTGAGAGACGGAATCTAAAACAAAAATCCAGAAAATCACATTGTATGATTTTTAAGTAATTAATTTGCATTTTATTGCATGACATAAGTATTTGATCACCTACCAACCAGTAAGAATTATGGCTCTCACAGACCTGTTAGTTTTTCTTTAAGAAGCCCTCCTGTTCTCCACTCATTACCTGTATTAACTGCACCTGTTTGAACTCGTTACCTGTATAAAAGACACCTGTCCACACACTCCAACCTCTCCACAATGGCCAAGACCAGAGAGCTGTGTAAGGACATCAGGGATAAAATTGTAGACCTGCACAAGGCTGGGATGGGCTACAGGACAATAGGCAAGCAGTTTGGTGAGAAGGCAACAACTGTTGGCGCAATTATTAGAAAATGGAAGAAGTTCAAGATGACGGTCAATCACCCTCGGTCTGGGGCTCCATGCAAGATCTCACCTCATGGGGCATCAATGATCATGAGGAAGGTGAGGGATCAGCCCAGAACTACACGGCAGGACCTGTTCAATGACCTGAAGAGAGCTGGGACCACAGTCCACAGAAAACCATTACTAACACACTACGCCGTCATGGATTAAAATCCTGCAGCACACGCAAGGTCCCCCTGCTCAAGCCAGCGCATGTCCAGGCCTGTCTGAAGTTTGCCAATGACCATCTGGATGATCCAGAGGAGGAATGTGAGAAGGTAATGTTGTCTGATGAGACAAAAATATAGCTTTTTGGTCTAAACTCCACTCGCCGTGTTTGGAGGAAGAAGAAGGATGAGTACAACCCCAAGAACACCATCCCAACCGTGAAGCATGGATGTGGAAAGATCATTCTTTGGGGATGCTTTTCTGCAAAGGGGACAGGACGACTGCACCGTATTGAGGGGAGGATGGATGGGGCCATGTATCGCGAGATCTTGGCCAACAACCTCCTTCCCTCAGTAAGAGCATTGAAGATGGGTCGTGGCTGGGTCTTCCAGCATGACAACGAACCCAATAGAAAATCTTTGGAGGGAGCTGAAAGTCTGTATTGCCTAGCGACAGCCCCGAAACCTGGAGGATCTGGAGAAGGTCTGTATGGAGGAGTGGGCCAAAATCCCTGCTGCAGTGTGTGCAAACCTGGTCAAGACCTACAGGAAACGTATGATCTCTGTAATTGCAAACAAAGGTTTCTGTACCAAATATTAAGTTCTGCTTTTCTGATGTATCAAATACTTATGTCATGCAATAAAATGCAAATTAATTACTTAAAAATCATACAATTTGATTTTCTGGATTTTTGTTTTAGATTCCGTCTCTCACAGTTGAAGTGTACCTATGATAAAAATTACAGACCTCTACATGCTTTGTAAGTAGGAAAACCTGCAAAATCGGCAGTGTATCAAATACTTGTTCTCCCCACTGTATGATGGTCCAACCGCATTCTGTCCCCTATCAACACTTTTTAAACTTTTGGTGCCAATGAGAATGACATAAGAAAGAAGTCAAGACGACTAGCTTGACTGAGTCCCCACCATGAGGTTTGATTCAAATACATTTAAATAAATCAAATACTGGTAGCTAGGCTTATTTCTGATTTCACATCACATTCACCATAGAACATAATCTCAAAACTAAACTCACCAAAAACCACTCCAATTTCTCCAGCGCGAGCCATGGCCTACATACAGACAGTACAGAGACATGGCAATGGTGTTAATAAAAATAACCAAATTAAATATAAATACCTAAATAGCCTGCTAGCTAGCCAGCCACACAGCAGTGTGATCTGTCTGGTCGGTGTAACAAATCATAACACTGTGACACACGACTTACCCTCACTGTCAGATGGCATATCTGGGTCTGCATTGACGCTGACTGCTTGGTCCATTATTAAATGCGAATTAAAACGAATTAAATATTATATTAAACAGCAGCTACATAACCAGCTAACAGCTCTTACCCAGCTGTCAAATTAGCTAGCAATCTAGGTAGCTAGCTACTTCCTCAATGTTTATCTTGTGGTGTTCCGCAGATTTCCATACGTCACAGATTTGACAGCATTTTTAACAGAACTTCAGACAGACAGGCGAATGTTATAGCTAACTGACTATTTAAATTTAACTGACTATTTAAATTTAAAACGTTTTTCTTATCGCTTTCATTTTTGTTCATAGGTGTTTACTGCATTGCAACTTCGGACCGATTCAAGGCAAACAACAAAACATCGCGTGTAGCAGCGAAATATCCCCCCTTGAAAATACTACTGCACACTTGTTCCACATGTTGCAAATAGAGTACCACAGTAATGGCCATAATACCCATAAAACCTGGAGGTCAAACAGGGAAATGGTTCCAGTCGTTTCCCATTAGCATTTTCGAATCTGAGCGTAAATAGAGCCGAATATATTGATAGAAGTCACTTTGTCCGATTTACATGGTTATCAAAACGTCACGCCAGGATAAGCTTACACGAAACACGGCCCTTATTTTAAGTGTTTCTAAAAGACCCTATGTGAAAAATGAACAATTTCCCTGTTTGACCGCCAGGTTTTTAGGGAATTATGGCACCTCCACTGTGGGGCTCTATTGGTAATGTTATCAATCTAAATCGTTTTCTTCTTATTATTTGGTATAATGGCGTTCGTAACAATTATATGTGCATTCTGCTGTCTACTGTGCGGGTAGATAATAAAGATCCCAAAAAGGAACTAATGCTGGGTAAAAATAAAATCTTTTTTTTATTTAATTGAGTGAAGTCTGACATATACCAGTAGCCACATTTTGATTTGGTCCATTCTAATTTGCCCATCTAGCAATTATTACCCTCTGGCCTCCACCTAAAGCAAACATTAACCTACAATATGGAGGTAGGTGATAAGTATAGAGTGTGTGTGTGTGTGTGTGTGTGTGTGTGTGTGTGTGTGTGTGTGTGTGTGTGTGTGTGTGAGAGTGTTTGTGTGTTGATGTTAATGCAAATTGTAAAGCTACACACAAGTCATTGAGTCTGTCTTGTCTGTTGTTTGGTTGGATGCTAACAGGAAGAGCTATAGGTGTTTGGTGACAACTATCTGTAGTTCTGCTGGTCCATGATGCTGCAGGTGAGGTCAGAACATTATTTATCAAAAGGTAATAAAATATTATTTTGACTTACATATTATAATACGGCAGGTTAATGGTTCTTAGGCCGGGATTCAGTCCGTGGAGCGCTGTGCCATTTAAATGTAATTTCAGCCTTGCCTGGTTCCTCTATATAGTAAACACACAAACTCTGGTTGAAAACTAGAAATGGCAGTGGACAGTGTTTATTTTATTTAATACCTTGAGGTAGAAATATCACCTCACTTCATCTCTCTTTTTGAGAATTTGCATTCTCAAAAAGAGAAAAAGCATGATTTTATCAGCAACCCAGATGAGCAGCCTGCTATCATTGGAACTGTTAATCAGATTGCACATGTGTAACATTGATGTAATCTAAGCATGGACTTCTATAAAGCTGGATATCAGTCAGTCAGTCAGTCAGTGTGTCTATCCATCAAACAGCTGTCTGGTTGGTTGGATGCTGACAGGAAAAGCTATGGGTTTTTGGGGACTACTGTCTGTAGTTCTGCTGGTCCAAGATGCTGCAGGTGAGGTCAAGAGAAATGTTTTTATTAAAAGAGCATTAAATTGTTTTTAGCTTGCGTGGTCCACAGTACCTATTACACTCATCAGATATTGATTGATTATTTTTTTACTGGTGTTTTAATTTGAGCATCATTAGCCTACATATTTGGGCATATACATTCTTTTTTTATCTGCCTTCCACTGGAACTAAGAACTTCAAGCAGATATCTCTGTTTTGGCATTAGTAATCACTAAGAGCTCGATTCAATCCGTATCGCTGAAGTTCAGCTTTATAGCTCGATTTAAATGTAAATGTAATTTCCAATTGAGCCGACATATTTAGCATTTACCGTGGCATGAATGCAGTCTCTGCTAATGCGGGAACATTGCCTTTAAATTTATATTGTATTGTTGCGCAGCTCTTCAGCGCTACGGATATATATCACCACTAAATATACTGTAAATACATATCACCACTATATATTTTTAAAGGGAAATCAGCAGTTGCTACATCCATTTAAGACTTGTTAATTAAGTTGATTCTTGAAGAATATAACTTAATAAATGCCTCATGAGAACCCAAAATATAAGCTTGTTTTACTCCAATGTTTTTAAACAAAGTAAATGTAAACAAACATTAAATAGCCTCTTAAAAACTATAAATAGCAGTTTAAAACTATAATTGTGATATTATGGATGGTCAGCCCTTGCATCCAGAGCTCTGTCTGTGAATTTGAAAGTGGTTACATTTCTCCAGCCCCATCCCTCAGCTTTTTACCGAAAAGGGGTGGGGAGGAACGCTTTGTGGAACTTCTCAGATTTTCTGGTGCAGTGGCACTAACTTCAGAGTTCTGAGAGGAGCAAGGTATCAAATGCAGACAGGGTTGGTACACGAAACAGGGTCACAGTCTGGCATTCTCTCCACCCTCCAACACCTCCCTCTCTAGGGTCAGTTGTGCCCCAGGCTCGGAGCTCTATCGTGGGGGGAAAGGATGCTCCAGAGGGCAGCTGGCCGTGGATAGCCTATCTGATTATCACTGAAGACAAAGGCACCTTCAGCTGTGGCGGATCCATCCTCACTGAGGAGTGGGTGCTCACTGCTGCACACTGTGTTGACCCGTAAGTGTGTTTGTTTGTGTGTGAAGGAGGCTTGCATGTTGAACTCATGAAAGTGTCTGCTATCAAAATGACATTTTTTCAGTGGTTGTAATTTTCTTAATGTCTCTACAATCAGAAAACCAGTTTACAAACCAGAATGACATCATTATGATTTCATAGGCCAAATTTTGCTTGCTGGAATAGAACCAAAAGCTCTGTATGTGGTTGTATGAAATATGTCAATGTCTTTGTAATGTTTTTATCCAACCTGGACTAAGGGGTACACATAACGTAGTAAAGTAAATCCGTCAACGTAGTAAAGTAAATCCGTCACATGCCAATTATATGATATGATACGTTTCGTATGGTATGTATTAATTTGTGGATGTCCATCATCCATTTCGTATGATATATAAAAAATTACAATTTGTATGATATGTTACGAATTGTATTTCATACAATATGTTACGAATTGCAATTTGTACAATATGTTACGAATTTGCTAAATGTATGATATGTTATAAATTCCAATTTGTTGTCGCATGTGACGGATTTACTTTACTACGTTATGTGTACCCCTTAGTCCAGCTAGGCTGGGGGTTAGGAGTTAGGTCAAAGGGTTAAGGTTACGGTTAGCGGAAGGGTTAGCTAACATGCTAAGTAGTAGCAAAGTAGCTAAAAAGCAGTAAGTAGTTGCAAAGTTTCTAATTAGCTAAAATGCTAAATTTGTCCGTGATAAGATTCGAACATGCAACCTTTGGGTTGCTAGAAATTCACGTTATAAATTTGTCCGTGATAAGATTCGAACATGCAACCTTTGGGTTGCTAAAAATTGACGTTATATGCCTACCCATCCACCCCGACCAACCACCCTACTTTCGTTTTTGCCTTAAGTAACCGCCTGTCTTATGTAACCATACCAAAAGTAACATATCATACTAATTTTGGTGTTCTGGATTTACATTTACTATGTTACGGCTAGTCTATGAGACCAGGCTGTTTTATCTGTGTTTGTGTGTATTAGGAATAACAACCCTATTCCAGACCTTTCCTACGTTCGTCTGGGGATACACAGCCTGAATAAGCCATCAGTGTTTCGTCGACCCATCTCACGCATCGTCAGTCACCCACAGTACAAGAAACAGCGTTCGGAACTGCTGCACGACATCGCCTTGGTGAAGCTGAGTATAAAGGTGTCCTTCTCCTCCCTGGTGGAGCCCATGTCCCTGCCCAAACCGAGTGATGCCTTCGGCCCGAAGTCGGAGTGCTGGATCGCTGGCTGGGGCAATGTCGGGAACGATGGTGAGCAAAACACACAGCAACACCAATATACAAACACTCACAGTGCCAGGTTCTAAAGCATAGCTTTGGTTGGTTTTGTCTTGATTGAATGTCAGCATTCAATTCTGAGGGCGACATTTTAGTAGTGCAAAAGTATTGTGCAAAGTGCAACATTTAACACAAACCTCATTATAAACCTGGTGGTTCCAGCCTTAAATGCTGAAAAGCTGATCGGGTATGACCCCAAAAATATTTGTACTGTTCTTATTATGTTGGTAACCAGTTTATAATAGCAATAAGGCACCTCTGGGGTGTGGGGTATGGCTAATATACCACATCTAACGGCTGTATCCTGGCACTCTGTGTTGCTTCATGCTTAAGAACAGCCCTTGGCCCTGGTATATTGGCCAATAACCACACCCCCTTCTGCTTTATTGCTTAATTATAATCTGGCAGTGTGATCTATAAACTTTTATTTACTCAGGGGAAACCAATTGAGGCCAGCGTCATATTTTGTTTTCCTCCGTCTTCTGTTGTTTGTAGTTAGTGACTATTTCTCTGTTAAATTCTCTCTCCCCCACTCTAACTGCCCTGCCCGTTCACTCTCTCCCGCAACCCTCTTTCTATCCTACATCTTACTCCCTTCTTCTTTTCCCCTCTCTCCAGTGGAGCTGTCTGGTAATAGGACCCTCCAGGAGCTGAGGCTGCCCATTGTGAAGCGACGCACCTGTAAGGAAAAGTTTCCGGGCTTCACTGACAACATGATGTGTGCTGGCTCCCTGGATGGAGGGAAAGACTCCTGTCAGGTGAGTTCCCTTACTGGTACGTATACATGTTTTATACAAACACAGACACTCTCTCACACACACACACTAGTGATGCGCCAGTCCCTGCGGGGCGGGCAGGTTTAGGGTCATGAAATATTGTGTGGGTGAAGGGCGGGTAGGTTGAATAAAGAGGAGAAAAAAAGAATCCATAACTGTATAATTCTTGTGCAATTCATATCTATAGGCTACATTGAGGTTTTTCTTTCTTTCTTTTTATCTGGCATTAGTGCGTAAGTCTAAGCTTTAGGGCCTAACTGTACGCACGCCGACTGAAACCTGGCACAGTGGACGCTATTCTGTTTCGAAACTGGACTTTATGTTGTGTTATAGCCTATTTATTTTCTAAGCCTATTTTTAATTTCACTAGATGTTTTATTTTATTAATCTGAAGGTATAGGCTATTAGCCCACAGAGGCAGTCGGCCTACAAGATGTCCATTTATTGTTTCACATTTTGTTTCGTTTCAGCAAAATGATAGGCTACTGTTCAATAAGCCTTTTAATAATAATAATAATAATAATATGCCATTTAGCAGACGCTTTTATCCAAAGCGACTTACAGTCGTGCGTGCATACATTTTTGTGTATGGGTGGTCCCTTTCAAATGAATATGCGTAAATTCTCAAGAAAAGCTTCATTGTTCAAGGGCAAAGTAGCCTAATTGTACAGTGCATTTTCACAAAAGCATGCCATGCGCAAGGTGTGATTTATTGTTTGACTTTTTCTTCACAAAAGCATGCGCAAGGTGTTAATTTAGGCTATTGTTTGACTTTTTGGTTTCAGCTAAACATTAGTCTACGGTTCAATAGGTCTAAATATTCAATAAATAAATGAAGAAATGTTGAGGAAAAACATAGTTGTTCAATAAATATTCAAGAGAGAAAAAAGGAACTGTACAGAGCATTTTCTATATTTTTGGGTGCGGGGGAACAAACAGCTGACCTACATCACTGACACACACACACTCTCTTTCTCTCTCTATCCTTCTCTCTCACGCACACACACACACACACGTACACACAAACACTTACTTGAATGCTGTAAATGTATGTTTGTGTTGTTTTTCTTTGTTTTACAGGGGGACTCTGGGGGGCCGTTGGTTTGTCGCTCATCTGGAGAGTTTGTCCAGGCGGGAATCGTGAGTTTTGGGCATTCCAAAGGCTGTGGTGTGGAAGGCTTCCCTGGAGTCTACACCCGTGTGGTCCGCTACTTGGACTTCATCCAGGAGACTATAACCTCCGACACACAGGCTTCTGCTGAGGCCTAGGCCACCATGAAACGCTGTCTGGTTACAGTCCATATCCCCCTTTCGCTCTCTCTTCCCTTTCTCTTCGCTTCTGATTCTCAGTTCCATATTGAGCTGAAGTCCTTACTTGAGATTTAAAATATCAAGATATTGGTAATGATTGTGAATTACTTTGTGGTTTTATTCTTTACCAAACCTGGGTTGAAATACTATTTATTTTATTTCAATTATTTTCAAATACTTTTCGAATTAAGTATTTAGACAACTCTTCCTTGAAAATACAAGTCGTTGAATATTGGCATGTATTTGAAATATTGAAATATATTTGAAATGTATTTGGAAACAAGTATTTGAAAATAGTTTCAAATATAATGTATCGGAAATTATTTGAAAATACACAGAAAATACATATTTAAAATATAAATACTTTAATAAGCATGTATTTGAACCCAGGTCTGTTGTTATTTTTTTTTTACATGAATTTTTGACTATGTACATTTCAATAGTAGGTCCTTAGTAAACTGCAAGCATCAACCCTTCTGTTCCAGTGTTTTTGTGTGAGAGTGTCACAAAGTAGAAAGTGACTGGTTCTAGAATCTAGGTTGAGCGGTGTGAAGCAGAGACCAGAGCTAGGGTCCTCTCTTATCATCTGGGCCAGGGGTTCCGATATCAAAGTATACAGCAGGGGAGACAGGGGACATCCTTGTCTGACATCCATGATCAATACATTCCAGGCATGTGCACAGATAGGGCTCCACCAGTGCTCAAGCCTTTTGCCCCTCCTATGAGTAAGTGCCCTTTTGCCCTCCTATCAGCTCGGTGGATTTTTTAAAGTTGAATAATTACTTTATAGTCTCTTTAAAAATATACATTTGAAATGTAATGAATTGCACATCAAACTAGCTCATTTAATTTCTCTTGAATCTTGAAAAATACACCCTCCCCCACTCCCGCCTCAAGCGCGCACTCGCCTGACTTCTGCATGTAGTGCACTGTACTGGCTACGGGTGGTGAGTTTGAATACTGGTAGGCTACTTTTGAGTCGGACCTGTCATGTATGTCTCTTACTTTTATGGACAGAGAAGGGGGCAATTCACGTGTTTGTTAGTAAGAGGCAGATGCAAACTCAAGTAAAAAATTGTTTGTTTTGACAGTTTTGCTAAATAGCTAGGTACTAGCTATGATCAGCTGATAGCCTCTTTTCCCAATGTCACTCATTATCCCACTGGGCACACAGTGGTTGAATCAACGTTGTTTCCATGTAATTTGAATGAAATTATGTTGAACCAACATGGAATAGACGTTGAATTGACGTCTGTGCCCAGTGGGACGTCTCTAGTTAGTAGCCTACTAGGAGTCACTGGCAGGAGTGATGAGTGTGTTGTTGCATGAAATAAATAGGCCAATGCAATAAAATAAAAAAAGAAATAATCTGATACAGAAACAGTTAGTAAATTATGAATTTCGAGTTATGAATATGAATTATGAAGTTTTCTTTCTTCTGGGGGCACCCTTTTTTTCATTTTGAGAACCTGCATCCCCAAAGGTCTGTGCACGGCCCTGCTACATGCAGCAAAGTTTAATGAGATAGTGGTGGAAACACTTCCTATTCAAAGAAGGCGTTACAGATCCACTGCTAGAAAAGTCGCTTTTTTTCTCCTCATTGTCATGTTACGTGGAGAGCGTTTGAGTGTCTTCTAACAGTGCAAGACAGTCGAGTGAGTTTTACTCTAGAAGGTCAGATACTTATTAGATTGGCACCGTGAAAATGCACAAATACAGATTTGACACTAGATTGGAGAAAACACTGACGGTGACTATAGCTCTTCCAACGTCATGCCGCGTGACAACTTTCCGAGAATCATATCTGTACATCACACTCAAGCTTTGCGTGTATTTCTCGTTTTCCTCTAAGAAAATGAATTAGCAAATCAGATATGCGGCCCGCTTTCTGTGGGCAAGTGTGTCAGCAGGGCCATGCACAGACCTTTGGGGGGCAGGCGCTCATTGAAAAATGGGCAGTACACACGGCCCTGAAAAATGGCAGTAACCTGGCAGTACAGATGCCACAGATGCACCACCCAAGCTCCATCCACTCTTCTCCGTGGATCTGGCCTAATTTTCAGCAGCAACAATTTTGTTATTTGATTTTACATTGGGGCCATTTTCTGTTGTCTAAGTAGTTCAACACAGAGTGTTATTAAAGCATTAGTATAGTGTTATGTCAAGAGGTGAACATTTGATCAGGTTATTTGGATCTGAGTTGAGCAGAGTGAAGTAGAGGGAGACACAAAGATCATTTTCAAACATTTATTTTAAGGCATGGTTCTGTCCATAACTATTCAATCAAGTATCAACACATATGATTGATTTTGTTATTTTACATTGTATCAAAATCGAAAGGCTCTGTGACAGACTGGTGTCCTGTCCAGGGTGTGTACTTGTACATCAAGCTGCCTCGTGGTATAGAAACAGGAGATAGGCTTCTGCCCTATAGGCCGTTCTGGCTCGGACAAGGCTACTTTCTTACTTATAAAACCTTAATAAGTTACTTAACAAACATTACAAGATAAAATCATACCAAATAACAAAAAAACGGAAACCAAATCATAAGAATTGGTGCAGCCCAGAAGGCAGACGTCCTTCTTTTTCAAGGCTTTTTCAAGGCCCCCATTACTATTAACTCTAAGGAACCACCATGTCTCTGGACTGCATCGTCTACCGTGGGCGGCAGCACCTCAAACAGAATTAAACAAGGCTTTAATACAATTGAGGTGAACATACAGTACAATTAGATAATTAACCAATGACATCACTTTGAGAGTTAACGAGGCAACCTGTGACAGTTAAAATCCTATTTCAAAGAGGTTTCCACATTTTGAACTGTCAGTAATGGATCATCAGCATATAATCATTCTTCACTTGAATTCCTTGGTTATTTCCCTTGTGGTTCTTGGGAGAAAACAAATAAGAGGCAGGGCTGCCAAGTTTTGTAGACAGCTTGGAGTGAGATTTGCTATTGTGAATTTCATTGCCCCCTGGCACAATCCCTATATGGGGGTTCAAGGGGTCCTCCCCAATAAATGTTTTACTGTTTTAAAGCAAATGTCCTGCAATTCAATGTATTTTTACATGGCTTAGGCCTATGACCAGGGAGGCAAACTGAATTTGTTAAAATCACAGGTCAGGTGTATTCAGGATGCTTTGAACATTGAATGCATAATCAAAATTCGAAGACTTCAGTACTTTGAGATTTTGAGGGGATTAAACATTTTTTTATATATATACATACAGTACCAGTCAAAAGTTTGGACACACCTACTCATTCAAGGGTTTTTCTTTATTTTTACTATTTTCTACATTGTAGAATAATAGTGAAGACATCAAAACTATGAAATAACACATATGGAATCATGTAGTAACCAAAAAAGTGTTAAACTAATCAAAATATATTTCAGATTTCAGATTCTTCAAAGTAGCCACCCTTTGCCTTGATGACAGCTTTGCACACTCTTGCCATTCTCTCAACCAGCTTCATTAGGTAGTCACCTGGAATTCATTTCAATGAACAGGTATGCCTTGTTAAAAGTTAATTTGTGGAATTCCTTTCCTTCTTAATGCGTTTGAGCCAATCAGTTGTGTTGTGACGAGGTAGGGGTGGTATACAGAAGATAGCCCTATTTGGTAAAAGACCAAGTCCATATTATGGCAAGAACAGCTCAAATAAGCAAAGAGAAACGACAGTCCATCATTACTTTAAGACATGAAGGTCAGTCAATCCGGAAAAGTTTCTTCAAGTGCAGTCGCAAAAACCATCAAGTGCTATGATGAAACTGGCTTTCATGAGGACCGCCACAGGAAAGGAAGACCCAGAGTTACCTCTGCTGCAGAGGATAAATTCATTAGAGTTACCAGCCTCAGAAATTGCAACCCAAATAAATGCTTCACAGAGTTCAAGTAACAGACACATCTCAACATCAACTGTTCAGAAGAGACTGCGTGAATCAGGCCTTCATGGACCGCAGAGTGAAGGAAAAGCAGCCCACAAGTGCTCAGCATATGTGGGAGGTCCTTCAAGACTGTTGGAAAAGCATTCCAGGTGAAGCTTGTTGAGAGAATGCCAATAGTGTGCAAAGATGTCATAAAGGCTAAGGGTGGCTACTTTGAAGAATCTCAAATATAAAATATATTTTGATTTGTTTAACACTTTTTGGGTTACTACATGATTCCATATGTGTTATTTCATAGTTTTGATGTCTTCACTATTATTCTATAATGTAGAAAATAGTAAAAATAAAGAAAAACCCAGGAATTAGTTGGTGTGTCCAAACCTTTAACTGGTACTGTAATTTCCGACATTTGGTAGGCTATTTGTTAGCCAACTTGTCTATAATTAGTTAGGCCTACATTCAGCTGTCATTAGACCTAGGCCAAGCCTCCCTATTATCCCTAGAAGACAACAAGTGGTGCTCACCAGAACAATGGAATAAATTGATAGAATGAATGCATCAATAATATGCCTAATCTAGGCTAGTTGACATCAGTAAAGTTCTCTTCCATTTCTGCTCGCAGAGCGATGACGTGTAGCCTAGGGACTGGGGAGAAAATTTAATAGCTTAACTCTAAAACAGCAGAAAGATTTCCTGCTAAATTTCCAAATGACATCAGTTTGCACGGTTTCAAGGAAATCCAAGGTGTGAAAACGATCCAACCTGAATCTGAAAAGATTTCAGTTCGTCATTTTAGGTGGTTGAAATAGCCTATGTCAGCTTTTATGTTGATGACAAAAACAGCATGTTTGCACGGTCCCTAACCGCGCATTCCCATTCTCCCAAGATGCTAAAAAGAAATAAATCATATTTCTCCGCCCCAATTCCCCTGAAACAAAATTAACATTTGGTGTATTACTTTACCGCAATAAATTATATTAGGCTACATGTGAGAGTTACAGTTAAAGTCGGAAGTTTACGTACACTTAGGTTGGAGTCATTAAAACTCATTTTTCAACCACTCCACAAATT